GATGATGCCATGGAAGAAACAACACTACCCACTTCTGATGTCGTTGTCCAACATGAAGGTAAGTTCCCAAAGAATGATTCATGTTATTGATTTTAGGTACCCGAAGACTGCAATTACACATTTGTAGGCTATTTTATGTTTGTATAATTTTCCTTTTTCGATAACTAATTCAACTCATACTACTTGTGCATAGACGATGTCACCGACATACTGGTTGCGACCACCATACCCGTTGAAGGCAATGATGCAGTACACACGAAGAGGCGGCGATCGACACGCCTTCGCTTCCCTGCCTCATCTACGAGGATTCCATACACTAGGGGAAGAAGGAAGAGAGTGAAGAATTAGTTTCGAAAAAATTTGTTTGATAGTATGATGAACAGAACTCGTTTTGCAACTTTTTGATGTACGGTGGATGTTGATGTATTTGTGATATGACATCTGTTCAATTTACGTCCGTTGTCGTTAAGTTTGCCATTTATTTTGTGTTGCTACATTCATTACATTTGTCGTTTCTTATGTCAACTGCCATATCGATTCTACTTTGGGTCCAAGCCTGACTGTTTATTAATCTATCCTGGTTAACGGCACAGGGCATTTTTGGGTTTCAGTACATGTAAATTTATGCAATGGTGTCAAACATAGCGTCACATATGGCAACGATGCATTTTCTGTACATTGATGTAGGTTGTCTCACATTTATGTTGAATCGATTATTTTATGGTCCACTTAGGTAACTATAGATTGTTCGAATTGCGACTCACTACGGACATGGCAAATGCAGCGAGAAGAATAACTTATTACGTTATGGTAGATTATGAAAATAATGAAAGAGAGAAGAATTTATTACGTATAAATAAATAAATTTGCACATTCTGTTTGGGATATTTGGAACCTATGGCTTCCTCCACTGCGAGCAGCGACTCCGAGCTATTGAACATGCCGACGCTGATGCCCGGCTCGTCTCCGGACTACCCCATCGTAAGTTCGTCGGATGATGAGGAGGATGTATGTAGAAATGGGTGGAGAGTCACTTCTCCTGTTCCAATTACGTATTATGCAACGGGCAACAATTTTGTATGTTTTGTTCGTGGAACCCTAATTTATGTTAAGATTGTGTTCATCCCTTTATGTTACACATATTTAGTAATGATCATTGATCAATTCGGAGGGCAACAGTAATTTTTTTGCATTGTGCGTTCCAATTCACTTGCTGCGCTATTCCAACTGTCGAGAACGACAGAGAACAAATGCCGGGAACGACAGATTAAATGTCGGGATGTGCTGCAAAATATTTAATGCCAACAACTGCATGAATGTGAAGATGGATACTACTTACTGCAAACGATAATGGATGTAGAATGAGAATGTAAGGCCGAAATAGTAATGGCAGGTGAAAACGATAACGCAAGAACAAAAAGAGCAATAACATTTGCTAACCATAATGTAAATAAAACGAGGACATAACCTCATATTGTACAACACCATACAGGAACATATAACATACTACTTCAATATTGA